TGAACAAAATAAAAAATTATGATTGGTTGAATGCGGTTTGCACGGTTTGTACAAATTGAGTGGTTTGCATTTGATCGCTCCCCTATATATATATAACATATGAGTTTGGTTCAGGTGAGAAGAAAAATTAAATTAGGAAGCATAAGAAATAATCTCCATCTTTGGATGCATATTAGGATAAGATGCATCAGATTAATTCCCGTGATAAACACAATTCATGGATGAACAAGAGATCAAAAACGATCAAAAATTCAGATCCCTTCTTACGCTTCTCATCTTAACACTCTTTTCTTCTTACACAATTGTTTGCCTATTACATATATCCCAGCTATTTATGGGCCTGGACTCGTATGTGTAATATCTAAGCCCACTTCAAGTTTCAAGTTATGAAATATTTTAGCCCAATGCCTGATCCCATTTTGGGCTTCAAACGAAGTTCTCTTCTCTAAGATTATTATTTTTAAAATCTACCCTTGTTTCTTCTATTTAATTTAAAGCAAATAATAGATTTAAGGCACGTTTGTTAACAGTTTAATGAGCTTAATGCGACTTACAACTTATTCGTTTAGTTATACATAATTGTTTGCTAGTGACTTAATGATACAAAAAATGACTTATTCAGTAAGTTTATTGGGGGAAACTTTACACAGAAAGCCAATTTTCTTCCAAACCTGAACCCTCTCAATTAACAAATACGCTCCTTACATCTACAAAAAAAAAAAAAACCTACTAAACAAAACCTTCTCAATCTATATAGACAGATTAATCTACACATACAACTTTATTCATACATGATTTAATGGAAAACCAATCAAACAACCTCTTAACTATGCATTTATTTTACCACTATGAAATGAAAAGAACGAACGCTTTTCATGCTCGGCCATTGAAACAAATGCAACATTTTTGTTTTCAGATAAGTTTTCAAACATAGTTTTAGTTTTTTCCAACTTTATTCTTTTTATGATTTCATGAATCTTATCTGAAGGAACATTTTGAATAGAGTTATGTGCCATTTTATTGACGCTATACATTTTTGTGGTGCATACACATGCATGCATGAGTGGTTGTCATCTTCACAATGATGATTTATTCCTCGTTTATGAACATATCGTACTACCACCGTAGTTTGAACTATGAAAAAGGAACTCCACCATTAATCTTATCTGTCAATAAAATGTTTCCAGGTGTTTTTTTGCGTGTTTCTCATTCCTCGTCTCAATTATTGCATGAGTCACTAAAAGATGCTGAGTTTGCATTATGATTTCGAGAAGTCGAGCGACCTCCATCATCGTTACACATATCTATATGAAAACATAAATATTCTGATTGCTGGATATACAAAGTATTTTACTATATTATAAAATATTTTGATCTTGGAATAGAAATTAGTACAACAACCTCATTATTGACAATATAACCATTATATTTCTGTTTCACAAAGACAAAACATATTACAATATTCAGATATTAAAATATTACATTTATATCAGTACAAATGGAAATACAGATTCCAGACAATGTATCAAACACAATACAGTCTAATTATGGTCGAAATGCCATGGCTCAACGTAGACTTGCATCATTACTTTGTATTTTTATTTAATACTGTACAATACTCAAATACATGTATCAATAAATACACACAATAAGAGTTTGTTTGATTGCCATCGCAGTTAACGTTTCATTTCTCCGGGACCAACCGGTGGCATCACGACTCCTTGATTCTTTGTTCGTAGATTTCCTTGCCATCCTGAATATTTTGTAAAACCATTAAAAATTATTTAAATAAGTTATTTTTAGTAATAAATATACGTCAGATTGGTTGATTAAAGCTTGTAACGAGAGCGATAGAGATAAATTTATTACCAAGGGCCGGATGGAATCCACGATATTTTATCTCACGATGCTCTTGGCAAAGAGCGCAAGGCTTGCAGAAAAAATGGACAAGACAATCCTCACACGGTTGTGCAGGCAACATGTATTCTTGCCTTAGTTTAGATCGATACATACATGAATATAAGAATTCCTATCTGCTGGTTAAACAAACTACTAAATAAAGGAGCCCGCTTGCGCCACAAGCTGTTTTCCACATCAAAGACTGAATCAGCCATTATACTTCCATAAAATCTCAGTGTAAAAACGAGGTTTGTTTACATTACAACAAGTTAAATACGAAGATTTGAACTGTAATTCGTTATAAAATCATACTAGCAATAAAAGTCGATGCAAATGCACTTACAAACAGTTCCCTTATAGACAATCTCCACAATTCGTCCAAAAGCAACACACGGAAAGAAAAGTGTGCAACAACCTATAGTTGTCGAAAAGAAACTTGAATAAAAGAATCTTGGTTTTAGTTAATTGATGATAGAGTTGAGAATGTATGTATGTAGACTTACAATTGGAGACATCAGAGGTGCAATCACAAAGGCCGGTGGACCATTGGCCATCGGTGGCGTATTGCTGCGGTGGATTGGAGGAAGAGGACATTATTCACAATGAATATGGAGGAGTTGATGGTCTGAAGTGAACAGTCAACGGGTGTTATTTATAGGCAACTATTTGACCAAACTGATGTGTGTGGATGGAATCGCTGAAAAAAACTTGTCCATTTTGGTTTCTTGCCACCCTCTTAGATTATCAATGTCATCATGGATCTTTCTTTTTAAGTGGATGACTTCTAAATGACGTCAAATATGATATGATTATTGTGAATTATGTTTTTATTGTTGATATTTACAAAAAAGAAGGAAATGTTCCAGCATCTGTTGAAGAAAAGTGGTCTAAAGCCGATGAGACTCCAACATACCCCTTGAACGCAGGGTAGACGACCACAAATTGTCCTTGTGTGTTGAGTCTGTCAAATGATTCAAATACTATGTGAGAATTTGTAGAAACCCATTTATTATTATCCAAAAAAATCACTCTGAAGATAAAAGATTTCTAACATATCTTGAATTCTTCTCTAAAATTTAGCTGACATATAAGTATTCAACATAATCAGATATCAAATTTACTCACTATACTTAAAAATACTACATTTTTGTTTTTGGGATAATTTTTGGAATGTATTATACTTTTTTTTTGATACATTTCTTCTTTTAATTTCACAAATCTTATCTGTGTCAAAGAACATTTTAAACTTTATCCATATGAAAAGAAAGAAGTCGACCTAGATTTTTTTATTCAAGTGGTGGCATTATCTGACTATAAGAAATACATATATGAATATCTTTCATAAAATTTACATTGGTCTAGTGGTCAGTTCATTGTTTTTCATATGTGAGGTAATTCTGTATTCAAGTATTTTATTGCAAGTTTTTTTAGAAACATAATAAATTTGAAATTAAAAAGTAAAAACTAAAAAAATAATACTAACTAGACCAAAATATATATGATGATACACAATAAATTGATACACCGACACTTTTTATGACCTTAATTTTCTTTGGAAAAATGAAGCAATAATCCGTACCATTTTACCATCATATGCATTACGATGGACCCGTCCCTGTGGAAAAATGTATGTGTCATTTATCTTATTCATGCTATACATTTGAAGGGCATACCCATGCATGCATAAGTGGTTGTCATCATCATAATGATGATTTATTCCTTGGACATGAACACATTATATTACTACGATGTTTATATAGTATTTGACAACGTATCTTAATTTTCGTAAATATATGAACTTTGATCAAATGTATCGTAAAGAAAAAGGCTACAGAGATACCGACTCATCTGCTTTTACTGATTTGTAGAGTTATTGCAAAGCTCTTTAGTCTAGGGGTCAACATGGTGGTGCGATACCTTGTTTTTTTTCTTCTTTTATATACTTTACACCAACCAATTATAACTGACACATAAACTTTTATATCATGTATCAACCAACTATACTTGATACCAACTAAATTGATACCAATTTTTTTTTGGTTAGTATGATTTTGTATCAGAACATTCAAATGACATGTGAAGAATTGACATCGCACTATAAAAAGTAACTCCATCGTCAATCTCATATATCAATAAAATATTTCCTGAAGTTTTTTTTTTGTGTGTTTGTGATTGGAGCTATCAATTATTGCATATGCCACTATAAGATGCTAAGGTTGCCGCTGATTTCGAGAACTCGAGCGATTTCCATCATGGCTGGACCTATGTATACGGAAGCATGCATATTCTAATTGTTATATATATATATATATATATATATATATATATATATATATAGGAAAGAGTTCAAATAAAAACACCTTCATTTTATAAGAACGCGAGAATACCTTTTTACTATAGACAATCACAGATTATTATTCCACATATGATACACATGTAATACTAAATCAGAGACACGGACGATTTTCGATACGATCTTGGTTGTGGGCCAAGTCGTCCTTACACCACTAAACCCCCTCACAATAATTACAGTTTTGACTAGTCAAGATTGGATTTGACTAGTCAGTGATTACAGTTTTGACTAGTCAAAAATTACGGCTATAAGAAAAATAGAGAGGGTAGTTTCATAAATTTTACAAATAGACGGCAAACGAGTTCATAAATGAATCTATGTGATTCACATATGAACTCGTGTAATTAACATATGAATTATTTTAATTGATTCACATATGAACCTGTATGATTCACATATGAACCTATTTGCCACATATTCGTAAAAGTTACGAAACTAACTCTTTATTTTTTCCATACTCGTTCAAGGAACTATCCAATACTTCACGATCAAAGCTGCAAATGTTGACTAGATGAAGGGCTAGGATCATTTTTCAAATGAACCTTTTCATATATATATATATATAGAGAGAGAGAGAGAGAGAGAGAGAGAGAAAGAGAGAGAGAGAGAGAGAGAGTGTGTGTGATGAGCGATCAAATGCAAACCACCCTTATTTGTACAAACCGTGTAAACCATCATAATATGTCAATCTCATTGTTTAATCTAATGAAATTTTTTCATGAAATTGTTTCATATAATACTTTTTCTTATGAAGTTTGTTTTATATATGGTTATGAAATTGTTTCATATAATATTTATGGAATTTTAATGAAACTGTTTTATGTATTTTTCTAAAATTAATATAATGAAGATGATAATATCCATGACTAACACCCTCCACAATAAAAATGATTAATCAATCTCTCATAATTACAAAAAAAATGAAAAGTTATGATTGGTTGAATAAAATTTGTACGGTTTGTATAAATAACGTGGTTCACAAAGTAATCCCCCCTCTCTCTCTATATATAGACACACACTATAAACCACTAAGCTCATGTTTTTAAAATATGTTAAAACTAAAGTTCACAACGTATTACTTTGTAGTGTATACATATAATTTTTTAAAACTTCACGTATGAACTCCATAAACTAAACTGATAACCAACAAATATAAGCACGTTCAAAAATTGAGATGAATGAAAATGATTTTAAGCCTACTTTTACGACAGAATACACCATAAAATTGATTAACCTTCTTGAATTTATATAAACGAGTAAAACACACAAAATCATAAAAATAAAATTAAGCCAGAAGAAACTCAAAAATAAGATGCATAGCACGAGTAATATATTATATATATATATATATATATATATATATATATATGTATGCATACCCATTGGTTTTTTTTATAAAGTATTATAAATATTATGCATTTATTAAGTGATGATAGAACGATATCAATTATGCTAAAAAGTCATCCGACACGAGTCCTAGTCGTTGCGTTGAGACCATCGCAATTAACGTTTCATTTCTCCAGGACCAACCGGTGGCATCACGACTCCTTGATCACGAGCTCGCAAATTTCCTTGCCATCCTGAATATTTGGCAAAACCGTTAAAAATTAGTTACATAAGATTTCTTTTGTAATAAACATAGCTTGTAAAGAGAGATTTATTACCAAGAGCTGGATCGAATCCACGATACTTAAGCTCACGATACTCTTGGCAAAGAGCACAAGACTTGCAGAAAAAATGGACAAGACAATCGCCACATGGTTGCGCGGGCAACATGTATTCTTGTCTTAGTTTAGATCGATACATACAAGAATATAAGCATTCCCATCCGGTGAATAGACAAAGTACTAAATAAAGAGCCCCGCTTGCACCACTCGCTGTTTTACACGTCAAAATATCAAATTCAATTCAATAATGTCATCATCAACCATTAACTTTTCATAAACGCTTACCCCGATAAGTGTTTATCGACAAAATTCAACATTATCACTTACTTACCGGATAAGATTTTAGTCCACAAAAAGGGTAGCGTATGGAACAATTTACCCAGTATGCATTAACCGTCGATCTCATTTACCGGATAAGACTCTCGATCTTTGCCTTTGCTCTTACTGAGTAAAATTCTTGATCATTGTCAATTGTCATATTCATTCGGTAAAGTAATCTGACTTGATAAACGCTTACCCATGAATGCTCCTTACTTTTTCATTGTCCAAAATTTTGGTTTGTTTACGTTACAACAAGCTAAATACCGAGGTTTTAAACTGTAATCGTTATAAAATCATATGACGGACGAAATTCGATCCAAAGACACTTACAAGTAGTTCCCTTATCGACAATCTCCGCAATTCGTCCAAAAGTAACGCACGGACAGAAAATCGTGCGACAACCTGCAGTTGTCGAAAAGAAACTTGAATAAAAAGACTCACGGTTTTGATTAACTGATCATGGAGTTGAGAATACATATATGAAGACTTACAATTGGAGGCATCGGAGGTGCAATCACAAAGACCGGTGGACCATTGACCAGTGGTGGCGCATTGCGACGGTGGATTGGAGGAGGGCATGACTTCTAAATGACGTCAAATATGATATTATTGTTGTAAATATTTACAATAAAATATACAATTAAAAGTCGTTAATAAATGCTTATCAGGTAAATAGTTACTATTTACTAACACTTCACTTATTTTGTGAGGTAACATTTTCAAATGGTTTTTAAGAGACACTTACCTGGTTTCGTCTTATCCCTCACTTACCTGTAGTCGGTAAAGATGGATTTGGTATGATACCAAGTTTTTTCTTTCAATACCATGTATCAACCGATTATAATTGATACGTAAAATCTTATATTATATACCAATCAATTTGTACTTGGTATGGACTTTTTTTGGTTGGTACTTATTTCAAACCAACTTTCATTTTCAAAATTTGAGTGACATATTGAGTTTTCATTTAGTACACGTGATGTATAATGGTTTTTAACTACAGTGGCTAGAACTTACAAACATTTAAATGTTCAAACAAAATAGTTCAAGTTACAAATTTTAATATTCAATACAAAAAAAATTCAAAAACTAGTAAAAAATTAATTAAGTCGGTAGCATGGTACATGAATTCAATACATGGACCAACCAAGTTTGTATATTTGGTACGATACTACCAACCAATTGTAATAGATTAAAATAAGTTAGTATCAATTTAATTGGTATGGCTGATACAATTGAAGCTTGATTTAGTTTGGTACAAAATTGACACTCCTAATTACCGGATAAAAATCTCGATTGTTGTCACACCCCTTACCTGGTATGCATGAATGCCTGATAAATGCTTATTCGGTAAACGATCCCTTAAAATACTACCGTTTGTTTCTGGTTAGAAACATGAAAATAAATCTCAACCTTTAGACGAATTTGAGTCGAAGGATGTGATTAGGGCTATGTTTGGCTGACTAATAAAACACATTTGAATATTACCTGAATCGACGATTCTAAGATCAATGAAACCCTAGAAATTGGTCACAGCAGCTTCGATTCGATTTCTTTGTATATGTTTTCAAGGTATATACATAATTTATAAAGAGGCAATTTCGACAATGAGCGTTAAAGCTCCGTCAATCGCCACGTCTACTTCTCCTCTGTTACAAACTACACGTATTTCTCCATTTTGTTTAAATTGCAGAACAGGTCCCTGCTGAATTTTACTTTACAGTAAATTACACTTTTCGTCCTTGTGGTTTGATAAAAATCAATATTTTCGTCCCTGTAGTTTATATAATTTACAGTTTATTGTTATTTTCGTGTCTGAGCCTAACTCATGTCTTTAATTTCAGAGGACGAAAAAGGCAAAGAATTGTAAGCTGCATAGGAAAAAACAAAGATAAGTTATAAGGACGAAAATAACAATGAATTATAAATATAGGAGAGAACAAATTATACCAAAAAACGAACAATTTTTTTTTCTTTAATTTGACATTCATATTATTATATACATTCATTCAACTTTTTGTTTTTTTGACTTTCATGTTGTTCCATTTGAACCCACCTCTAAAATACTACATACGATCTTTATTGATTTCATATTGATTAGACTATTACATGACATTTGTTTTTTTTTAAAAGATGCTGAATTCTGAAGTCTGATTTCACTTATGATCGATAAGAGGTGGTGCTGGAGTCTGAAATCTGAATCAATAAAACTGTTTGTTTTTTTTATATGATAAATGTCTGAATTTGTTTAAATTGTCTATTTTACCCGTTAGAAATTATAGATAAAAATCCCCGCAATTAAGAGGAATGAAAATCTCCTTGTGACCACGGAGGTTCAAATGCGGTGATTTCGAGTTACCTGCAAAGCAGGTGGTCGCCTTGGGATTAGTCCAGCTCGCATAACGGGTTGGATATCCAGGTTAATCGAAAAAAAATTAGTGTTGAACTTATAGATAACTGTATACAATTTCACATATTTATTTATCATCATTATGAAATTTACATCTAAATTGTATAATTAGCATTATCTAACACATTTAAATCATATTAAAAATACATCAATTGAGAGAGCTGATGACCGATTTGGCAAAGGATTGATCGAGAAAAATGATCGATTAAGATTAATCGATTGAGAAACCCTGTTTCTGAGGGTTTGGAGAACAATAAGAGACAAGTAAATGATTGATTTACTTCTTACAAGATACGAGAACAATAAAATATAAATGTCTCCGAAAAATTGGAAAAAACAAATAGTCTGAATGAACCTACCCCTAAACGAATTTAATATAAAAAAGTAATAAAAGATTATTTTTCTACATCAAAACAACTCGGCAAGCATATTTGCAAATTCAATAGGCCCAACATCATTTCGAGCCCATTAACTTAAAGGCCCAACTACACCGCACCCGTGACCCGACCCATTAGACCAAATTTGGGCTTCCTCTTTCTCACCCGACACCACCAAAAAACATCATTTATACATAAACAATTTCAACAATGACCTTTCTCCATTGTTACAAGTATTTCTTCATTTTCTTTTGATCGTTTAGAGCATTTCCAACATAGAGGTTTTATTCTCTATTTTTTCTATAAGATACAGAAAATGAGGAAAGAGAAATACTGTTTTATTCATTTCCATCGATAAAATTAAAATTATTATTATTTTATATCAAGTTTTTTATTAAATTTTATCGGGGTTTCGGATGATAAAATTATATAATATTTTAATAATACAATTGAAATCTTTAAAATTGAGAATCTTTTGGAGTTGAATGTAACTTGTTTTATATAACTAGAAGAGTACTTGCGCAATGCAGCGAGACACGTCTCGATTTTAATGTTCTATTTTATTATTTGTCTCTGTCGATGTTATAATACGATTTTATGTGTTTTTTAAAAAAACAAAAATGATTTTATTTTTGAATACAATATAAATTTAAAAAAAATATATCAATGTTAATATCAAATCCTATTTAAAAAATTTCATTTTTTTATGTAATTTCTTTAATTTATTTTTTTATTATAATTTAATTTAAGTTTAATAAYGAAATAATTTATTTTTGGTTTAATAATGTAACATTTTATAAAGATAATAATTAAGTATTCAGTTAGAACTCAATGATTATCCTAATTATATTTTAGATTTTTTATATTTAAATTTAGATTTTTATCTTGTATTTCATTATGTTTATCTGCAGTTAGTTACACGAATTCAGATATGGAGCTTTAATAAGTTGTACTTACGTACAATCTATTTGCAATCTTGAGTTTTAAGTAATATGCATTAATAAACAGTACTTTATGCATAAAAAATAGTTTGTAAGAGTTTTTGTCAAATGTTTTATAATATAGTATAGATACTTTAATTAAATACTATTTTATATTTATGTTGGAGATACTATTGTTACATGAAGAGGGGATCTATATTTTCTTTTTGCAATTGTTAATTAGTGTAATATTAAATAAAATAATATAAAATAAAAATTGTTAGGAAAAATTGTGTTTTTATTGTTATTGGACAAAATGTTAACGAGAATCAACAAAGGGTGGTGTATATTTGTTTGAGCTTGGACTCCAAAGATTAAAAGTACCTAAAGATCCCATGTTTAAATCTAATGAGAAATAAAAATCATTTTCTGGCCGCGGAAGTTCAAATGGCGATGACTCCGGACAACCTGGTTCACCATGAGATTAGTCGGCTAGCACAATAGATTGGATATCTAGGTTAATCCCAAAAAATGTTAATTGGAATCGTTGATCTAGTTGTTGATTAATTTATTGGGTTGTGTGACTAGATCGTTGGGCGTTTAAGAGAAGAAACGTAACGCTTATAAGGGTTATGGATAAAATACATAACGAGAAAATCACAGTATTTGCAAAACTATGTAGACAATATTCATGTAACGAAAATCAGTACAACAATCTTATTCTCCACAAAATACATTTTTATTATGTATAAAAAAAACATAATACAATGCCAACATTGTAAAATCCCTTATTACCCTGAAAAAGCAGGGTCATCTTACGTCCTTGAACCGATAACCATCTTTCGACTAACATAGCCTCCTCCGTCCCTTGGGACCAACAAAGAGTATTACATGTGTAATGACAAAAATCAAATACAAACTAACGATGAATCAAACAGAATACAATTTGACTATGAACGGACCAAGATAAACTTGCATCGTTAATTTGTTTTATTTTTACTCGTATTTTATAATACCCGTATACACATATCAACAAATGCACATATTATTTCATATAATTACGCACTCGATGGTTCGGAATTTGTTTGAATTGCTAACTAACGTTTCATTTCTTCGGGAACAGTCGGTGGCATCACGACTGTTTGAGCATGTTTTCGTAGATTTCCATACCATCCTGAATATTTTACAAAACATAATTAAAATAAGATTAACTTTTTTTTTTTGTAATAGATGTACGTTTGACGAAAGAGAGAGATAAATATATTACCGAGAGCGGGATCTAATCCACGGCACTTAAGCTCACGATACTCTTGGCAAAGAGCGCAAAGCTTGCAAAAGTAATGGACAAGGCAATCATCGCAGGGTCGTGGAGGCAACATGTATTCGTACCTTAGTTTAGCTCGATACCTAGAGGTATATATGGCTCCCAATCCGGCGAACAAAGAAAGTGCGCAATAAACAGTCCCGCTTGCAGCACAAGCTGTTTTTACACACCAAAACAACTAATCAATCCCAATAATTTTTTTATTAACCTGGATACGAGCTGATTAATCCCAGGGCGACCACCTGCTTTGCATATAGCCCGGAGTCACCGTATTTGAATCTTCGTGGTTACAAGGGGATTTTTATTACTCATTGGATTTGAACCTGAGACCTCTTGTTACTTTTGACCTTTGGAGTCAAGCTCAAACCAATCAGGCACCACCCTTGTGGTTATCAATCCCCGTAATTAACCTTAACGAACTATTGTTTTTGCAAAAATTGACGTTTGTTTACAAGAAGCTAATTAAAATGCAGAGGATTAAACCATAAATCGTTATGAAAACAATACAAGTCGAGCCGGAGACACTTACAAGACATTCCCTTGTCGAGAATCTCCGCATTTCGTCCAAAAGTAATGCACGGGCACCACAACGTGCAACAACCTGTAGTTCCCGAAAAGAAATTTGAATCAAAACAATCAATGTAATATATAACAAGTTTTGATTGATCATAGAGTGTGATAACATGTAGACTTACAATTGGAGATATCGGAGAAGCAACCACAAAGGCCGGTGGACCATTTGCTGATACCAGGGCCGTATACCGGCAGTGGCGGCGGTGGCTTGACAGGGTCATCCATGATTCAAAATCAATCGAGTTGGTGGTTCGGATTCAAGTGTTATTACGGGCTGTAATTTATAGGCACAATTTCGTGATGGATTCGTCGAACAAACGTTATGCTTTCCTCCGGTCTCTTAGATTTTCTGTATCATAATGAAACTTTTTCAATGACGTCAAATATGTTATAATTGATGTAAATAATATATTTCATGGTTAAAGTAAATGTATACCGAAAACTAGGGATGCTCATAGGTTGGATTGATCGGGTTGAACACATTTGATCAACTCAACCCAATGCTTGCGGTTTGAAAAATCTTAACCCAACCCAAACGAAAGTGCAACTCAACCCAACCCAAACCGTACGGGTTGGTCGGGTTGATACTTTGGTACATAAAAATATTCTTTTAACCTTGAATATGTTATTTCTCTACTCATAATTTATTTTTCATTATCAACCATTTGATACAACTTATCCAAACTTCTTACGTATATCACATTCATTTAATTTTCTCAATTTACGTATATATGTTTAAAATTACTGAACATATATACGAATGAGTTATATAGAGATGTAAATATATTGAAAAGATATGTATATAAAGAGCGTACGTAATAGTGTTATTGTCTAATGCATATATTAATAAAAATTCAACAATCATATTAATCCAAAAAATAAAAGGATATCGGGCTCATCGGGTTGGGTTGAGTTCAAATAATAGTAACCCAAATACCCAATACCTACAATTTAAAAATTTTACAACTCGATTCCACATCGGGTTGTTTCGGGTTGAGTTATTTCTCGTTGGGTTGGGTTGATCGGGTTGGTCGGGTTTTTGAGCACAACTACTGAAAACACTACGTATTCAATCTTAATAGACCCGATCCATTAGATCAAATCCGGGCTTCATCGTTCTCACCCGAAATCACCATACAACATCAGTAGCCATGAACGTTAAAAGCTTCAAATTCCATAGCCAATCGAATATACGATGAATTGATTGTCAATATCGAACGAAATCCATAGCCAATCGAATATACGATGAATTGATTGTCAATATCGAACGAAATCCATAGCCAATCGAATATACGATGAATTGATTGTCAATATCGAACGAAATCCATAGCCAATCGAATCACATTGCCATAAGAAACAACAGTAATGTACGTACAGTAATTGAATCTTCAAGTTAAGAAGATTACCTGAATCGATGAAACCCTAGAAATTCAAACTCCTCTCACAGTAGCTTCGATTCGTTTTCCAAGTTTGTGTGTGTTTCGTTGCTTTCATTATTTACGCAGAGACAATTTCGCCGATGAGCTTTATAAACTGGGTCAATTGCCACGTCTGGCTGTCCTTTGTTACAGCTGACACGTGTTTCTTCATTTTCTCTAAATTTGCATAACAGGTCCCTGTTCAAACTTTTCTTCATGATATTTACACTCTGATCACTTACTTTTATTTTATTCCAATTTTGACCACTTACTTACATTATATACATACACACTCCTCTAAGGTTGGCATCAACCATTTTTGATCTTAGGGTCCGTCTGGTTTGATAAGATTATTTTAGAGATTTAGGGGGCGTTTGGTTCATAGAATGGAATTCATCAAATGAATTTGACTTTGAGGAAATGGAATGAAATCTGATGGAATTTGACCATGTCTTGTGATTGCGTTTGGTTGCATTGAATTGGATTAGGGAAGGAATCTATAGAAAAGAAATTGAAATCCTAGCATATTGCCATGGAATTGTAAAATCTGTGCGTGAAGGAATCGACTTGAATTGAAAGGATTTCATAATCTTATTCCATGAACCAAACACTCTATTTGAAATTTGGTCAAATGATTGGACATTTCAATTCCTTTCAATTCTCATGATCAAAACAGCCCCTTAGATTTTCTAGAAGAATTTGGATTTGAAATCTTTAGTGTTTGGTTTGTAGTATTTGGAATGGAATGGAATGAAATTAAGTTTTAATTTTTATAAATAATTTAAAAACAAATCAGGGATAGTCATAAAAATAATTAAATTACTTTTTTTATTAATTGATTATTACAAAACAAATATTATTATATTACATATAAATTCTACGAAATCCTATGAAATATCAACCATTCATTTGCCATGGGATTTTATTAACTAACATTTGTATCGTGTTTCCTTTGGGCACTTTAATTTAATGTTATACTTTTTTATATAATTCTAAAGAACAATTAGAAAAATGTTCAGTGACTTTACGTGACTCAAACCTTTGACCAACATTTACATAAAATCCCTAAAGATCAAAACCTTATTGTCAGTTAAGCTAACCCACAAAGCTTTTTCAAATATGACAAGGCGGCTCATACTTAGATTTATTAAATAAAAATAAATATTAAACAACTGTAGTAATAGAATATATTATACAATTTATGTTTTTTTTTCTGCATAATTCTAAAAGTCGTATTTTGTAATTTATGAAATGAGTACATTATTGATTGCGTTTTGTGGGGGCAATTGAGATGTTCCACATGCAAATGCTTTTACGAATTATTACATAAAAATAAGCCACCATATTCTTGTTATGTCTTATAATCTTATTTATGTGTTTCAAGTTTTAAATTATAATTAAAATCAACTAACATAAATAATAATTAAAAAAGGAAAAAACAAGTTGAAAGAGATAATGCTAATAATTTCATCCATTATTGTTGATTTGATTAAAGTTAATAAAAATAATACATATGATATTATAAGAATATAAATATTCAAGTGCTAAATATTATTATTCGTATAAAACAATTGATTTATTTGATCATTTTCAAGATGCACGTCATGTTTGGCAAAGAAACTATGATATGAAAATTGGAAATAAAAACCTATGGAGCTATTTGGTTTGTAAAATGAAATTTGATGGAATTAAAAAATATTAAAGAAATTTAACTTTGAAAAAATTGGAACAAAATTTATTCATACATTTAATTGGCTATTACGAGACATAGTTTTTTTTTTTTTTTGGTCAAACAAGATTTACCTCTTAACGATTCAGAGGTTGTCTTTTAATGAAACTATTAAGAGTTAAACAAACAACGCTTAAACCATACACGAGGATGGAATTTAGTCAAATACATTGTTCCAATTCCTTCAAAATCCATGAACCAAAAAACACCTTCTATTACTCAACCGAACAACGAACTCTAGAGATCGCAAAGCTTATTGACGAAATGATAAAGAGGTTAATAGACGAGGTCGCTCCCCTCCAGACTCCAGTTATATTCTTTTAATTTATAAAAGTGTCTGGAGATCTTAATATAAACAACACTCTGAAGATCGTTAGCTCCAGTGTTAATTTGAGAAATTCTCTTTAATAATTTATAAGAAAAATTCTAGCTTCGTTTCAAATAAGATCAGAGAGAAGATAATTTAATTTCGAAAGCGAAAGAAAATTATTTTATTATAAATAACAGTAAAGAATATTTGCTGGTCACATCGAAATCATTAATTCGTAGAATTTCATTATTGACAAAGTCGTTTTTTATTGTCACAACGGAGTCGTTAATAGTAATCAATTCATGTTTACTATTATTCAAGCCTAATAAAATTACATTTATTTTGATATGATTAAAATCCAAACTTTAAATAAATGCATATGATGATCCAAGCGTCATGAACCCTGTAATAGTAAATTCACACGATGATCCAAGCCGTCATGGACCCTATAATAGTAAATACAATAATATCTTAGATCTATACACCCCATGATTCAAAGTTTCCTCGATTGTTATCAAAATTAACGCTTCATTTCTCCTGGACCAAGTGGTGGCATCACGACTCCTTGACTTTGAGTTTGCAGATTTCCTTGCCATCCTAAATATTTTGCAAAAACAGATAAAATATAAAATTAGATATTGTCTGATAACAGTTCGTAGAGAAGGGGGAGAGTTTTTTTATAACCAAGTGCCGGATCAAGTCCACGATACTTAAGCTCCCGATATTCTTGGCAAAGAGCACAAAGCTCGCAACAGCAATGGACAAGGCAATCGTTGCAGGGTTGCTCGGGTAACATGTATTGTTGCCTTAATTTAGATCGATACATAAATGAATATATGCATTCACATCCAGTGAATAAACAAAGCACTGAATAAAGGGCGCCGCCAACACCACAAGCTGTTTACACACATAAAAAAAAAGTAATTATTCGTTGAATTAAACTTAATACTATTAAATCATATGACTGATCAAACTCGAAAAGTTAGACACTTACAAGTAGTTCCCTTGTCGACAACCTCCGCAATTCGTCCAAAAGTAATACACGGACAGCAACACGTCAAGCAACCTGTAGTACCCAAAAAACAAAATAACAGTTTTATATATCGTCTTCTAATTTAATTATACCGTATAGAAGAAGAAGGGTGAACATAAGTTTGTACGTGGGCTTACAAATGGAGAGATCGGAGCTGCACTCACAAAGGCCGGTGGACCATTCGCCGGCGGTGATGTTAGGCTGAGCTGGGATTCCGGTGGCGTATTGCGGTGGCTCAATTGGGTTGGTGGAAGATTTCATGATTGAGAAGTTAAATATACAATTGAATTGAATTGAATTGGTGGTGATTGGTGCGTTGTAGGCTGCTATTTTATAGGCACCAATTAATGGATATGGATTGAATCGTTGTCAAACAAAGTTGTCCACTCCGGTTTTTCCCTAGTAGCCTCCGGTTTTTCTCCTTGATAATCAATTGAGACTGACTTATGAACCACGATAACTCTTTTGTGACTGTTGTAATAATATATATTTTTTATTGTCCGTTTAGTGACGGTAGGACTTCGGATTTTTGTCAAGCGGATATGCGTTTAAAGTGGATTAAAGGTTCGTAAAGTTGTACGATGTATTTTTTTAGCTGAATTCCACCGTTTCAAAAGATGTTTAAAGGTTCGTAAAGTTGTACGATGTATTTTTTAGCTGAATTCCACCGTTTCAAAAGATGTTTARAGGTTCGTAAAGTTGTACGATGTATTTCAAGGATTTCTTGGGTTTTTTTCGAAGGACTTTTTTAGTTGATGTTTTTTTGTATGTTCTAATATCCCGGAGCACTGGTCAAAGTTTAACAGATGCATCTTTTATAAGTCAAAATGTTTTTACTTGCGAAATTCAATTGATCGGGTGCATGCGACCCTACTAAGGCATGAACAGATCCAACCTAGTCCTAGTTGGTAAAGGGACAAAACGAATTTCCTTAAATACGCACAGGTTGAAGTTCGAAACATAAGGGATACGAACTTTAACTGCTCCGTTAAGTCGGCTATGAACTATTTTTATCATGTGTGATAAATATGTTTAAATACAAAATAATGAATGAGCCCTACTAATAAAATAGAATATTGTGTTAAAAAATTTAAATTATGGTAAAATAAAATGAATTAAACAAATAATGTGTGTGTGTATATATATATATATATATTTATACACACACACAAATAACTGCTAGACAAGACGTATTTTCATCTATACGGATGCGTTTGGTACACTGGACATGACAGAACAGAACATGACAGAGATCTCTGCGCTATGCTTGGCATGACTTTATGTGGAACATACAGAAACAAAGTGGAACAGACATGTTTCACCCTACCCTATGAATCAAGGTGAAACAGACTTATATTTTATTAATTTATGTAATTTATTATATATTAGTAATAAAAAAATAAAAAATAATGTAGAAAAGAGATAAAAATAAAAAATGAAACTATCATAAACTTTTTATTTTGTGTCATTTTAATTGTTTTACGAGAACTTTCTAATAATATATTTTGTTATAAAAAATAATTATCCTATTATAATTACATAAATTACTTCTTATAGTGGGTAAATTGATCATTTTACTTATTCTGTTATGTCCAATTTTATCTTACCAAATGTTGAACAGTTATTCTATCTTATCATGTCATGTCATGTCTTATCCTATCATGTCTATATACTAAACACACGTTATAAGATACTTATTAAATTACTTCTTTTAGTGGATCTTGAATTTAATATGGATAAAAACATGTATTATAGATATAAAAATAATTTAGAATTCATATCTTAAAATATAGTTTGGTGGATCTGAAATTCTTGTTTATATAAAAATATGGAAAAAGGTAATGAAATATGAAAAGATGAGGCAATTAGTTTGAGAGAGCGTGTTGACCAAAGTCAGCGCACATCGTTCATTAGTTACTGTACAAATTTTAACCCCAAAATAGTAAATTCATGATGTTTTTTATTTTAAAATAAGCAACTTGTTGACTTAAATATTAAATATTTTTAATTTTTTAGGAAATTTCATATAAATATCTTAGATTTTGGGAAAACTTGACTTGTATTTAATCTTTTTTATCATTTCTCTTAATTTTTTTATTTTTTTAAAAGTTGAATATGTTAAAGACTTTTTCATATATGTATGAAAAATGTGTAATTCATTATTAACCTGGTTTTTTTTTTTTTTTAATTTTATATACTTAAGTTTAACCTTCAACTCTTGATTTGCTCTTCCATTTCCTTCTTTTAATTCTTAATGAAATTTGGTTTTCAAAGTTTCTATAATAAACAAAATAAAATCCTAAAAATTACTTTCGTGAGTAACGAAGAAGGTGCGAGTTTAAGAAGACTTGAAAGATTTTAAAAGATATATAGAAATTATATTTTAAAAAAAATATGATTTGTTATTGTAACAACTCGTCTCACATGGATAGAAGATGAAAAGTGTTAACTTCTTGTAAGTATTAAGCAGTGAGCTACCAATAACTTTCACCATGGTTTTAAGTTAGACTCAAAGTTATTGAGTCAGTTCGTTGCTTTGGATTTTGGGGGTGTTCGAATGGTATCATATTCGATCCTTATACGCCATCGGAATCCGAGCTCATGCATGTTGAAGAATATGAAAACCCATCAGATAGGTTTGTGTGTGTATGCACACACACTATGAAAAGCCATCACAGAGGTATATTTATTACATGCAAGTTATTATATATATTTCTTCAATCTTAATAAAATCTTTATTTTGTCTATTTTGTAATTCAATGATTTATTACCACCTTAATTCTCATTTCTATGCATTTTTCGCATGAATTATCCAAAAATGGTAAAAGAATAACTGGGTATTTATACAAATACTGTAATATGTCACTGTTACTCACAAAACTGATAAAAAAATCTGCAGTTTTAGTTTTCCTTATTTATTTATTATCATTCATCTTTCACGCTTTCAAATGTCATAAGATGATTTTTTTTATTAAAGTAATTCAATATGATATATGTTATTATGTATATATCTTCATAGTTAAGGCAAGTGGTTTTTATTCAATTTGGATCAGAGCATCCCGTGATCCATTTCAAACATTTGACCTTCTGAAAGTTTATATTTAGATACGTTTTGGACACGATATAATTTATACATGGTTTAATAATATAATTTTTTTATAAAGATAATAATTAAGTATTATGTTAGATTTCATTGATTATCTTTATTATATTTTAGATCTTTTATATTTAAAATGAGATTTGTATCTTGTATTTGATTATGTTTATCTGCAGTTAGTTACACGAATTCAAACATGGAACTTTAATAAGTTGTACTTGCATACAATTTAATTATAATCTTGAATTTTAAGTAATGTGCATCAATAAACAGTACTTCATGCATAGAAAATGATTTTTAAGAGTTTTGTCAAATGTCTTATAATATAGTATAGATAGATAATCTGTTGGAGATGTTTTTATGTTTTGAAAAAATATTTAAAAAATCGAGTGAATAAGCCTCCAAATTATTTATACTATATTATAAAGCATTTTACAAAAACTCTTAAAAAACATTTTTTATGCATTAAGTACTGTTTATTAATGTATATTACTTAAAATTCAAGACTACAAGTAAATTATGCGTAAATACAACTTATTAAAGGTTCATGTTTGAATTCGTGTAACTAACTGCAGATAAACATAATCTTAGAGGATAAATATATCATTTTAATTATAAAATATCTAAAATATAATTAGAATAATTATTGAGTTCTAACAGAATACTTAATTATTGTTTTAAAAATTATTTTATTAAGTCAACAATAAATTAATTCGTTTTTAAACTTCAATTAAATTATAATAAAAAATCAAATTAACTATTTTAGATAGTTAATTTGATACTAATATTGCTTATTTTTTTCAAAATTTTATAATATCTTCAAATTTATAGTTCATTCAAAAATAAAAACTTTTTCTTTTTCTCAAAACCACATAAAATCGCATTATAACATCGATAGACCCAAAATATAAAACTAAACATTAAAATCGAGATGTATCTCGCTACATTGTGTGAGTATCATTCTAGTTCAAAAATAACGAAAATAAAATTATAAGATTAACAGTATGATGTTTACCTTTTTCTTCCATCAAATTTTGTACAGATGTACAAATACAGTGACTTTTTTTTCTTTTGAGTCAACGGTATAAACAAAATTAATGGTCGTTTTTACCTTTAAGTATGAAGTAAACACTACTCGTAATTTCTTGTCCTCTTGCAATTTCATCACGTAAACTATTGATTTTCCAAACCCTTTTGATTTTCTTTTCTTTTGGACGGAGGAATTTGTCAGTGTTTGACTAATATTTTTCGCTATCAAAGAGCATCGTATTCACTTTAGCATTTCATCAAGTAACGAGCATACGATTTAATTCAACAAGGTATGGTAACAAAATCAAGAAATCCAAACAAATATGGTTCTTTTCTCGACATAATATTCAACGAGCTGTAACCCCTCTTCCAACCGATATATAATCAATCTGCCTTTAAAACAAATCTATAATCTCATCAGGTATCTTGTTCATGCTTCCATGAAATTTGAAACTCTCTAAGGATGCCAACGCCAATATTACGTCTATAACCTATTCAGCTATGCAACCGATGACCAAAAGATTAGAGTAACCGGATTTGGATTACCCTCTTCGGTGATCGGTGTAACCCTCTATGGACTATCGGAAGAAGCCACTAACGACAAATAAATATTCACGTATGGTCATACAAATAAGTCTATCAAACTATGAAATCCGTGACCGAGTTTATAAATTGTTTATTTATATATCACAACATATGACGAAGAAATGTGTGAGAGAGTTCCATACCCTCACGATACGTTTTAAATGTAGACCCCACAACTCATCTTTTATTCCACAAACTTAACGAAATTGTTTTTTTCTAAAAAGAAGTCCAAAAGCAGAAGAAAAAACTAAATATGTGACAAAATTAACCTTCCCAACGTCATTATTTAAGAAAATAATTCTCCATTTCTATTCCGCCTAGGACTCATTATAAATAATCATTCTTTATAAATAATTAAAAGAATTATTTGTTTACCTTTTAATAGTTTCATTAAAAGGGAGTCTTTAAGTCGTTAATAATTGAATATTGTTTGGTAAGAAAAGTCTGTCTTTTAATGATTTTGTATCGTGGGTCTCCTTAACCATTAAGCGCCTTAATTTCATTATAAACAATTACGAAACAATTATATTTCATTTTGCAATATATCATAAGAGTCTCATAATCATTTTAACCACTTAATCATTCTGCATCAAATCATTAATCAACTGCCAAACAACCTCTTAGTTATATACAATGACAGAGTCAGAAATTTTTTGGAATGATATTACAAAATAAATACCATACAACCTAAAGCTTCATTTCACAAATTTTCATATAAACCTTTAGAGTTTTAATTTTATGGTTTCATCAGAAAGTGTTGGTTGCACATTTGAAGAACTTAAAAGAATTTACACTTAACCCCATCATTTTAGTGGTTTAACAAACAACCACCCTTTTAAAGGGTAGTTATGCCTTTGATTATACGAATATAAGTATTTTGTTTGAAATAAATATTTATTGCCTTCTATAAAAACAAATTAAATTTGGTATAAATTTCCTTACATTTATTTTGGAAAAAAAAATATTGGTTCGAGTTACATTTTATCTATGTAACATGTCATAGATTCAAGTAACAAGTGATCAAATAACCTTTAAATCAACTTAGAACTGTTGTGAAAATTATTGTTAGTTTAAAAGTTAATATTTCTATACATGCGGGACGAGTTGTTTGTTCTAACTAAGTTGTTAAAAAATATAGAGATTTTGAAGATCTTTATATAAATTTGAGATCCAACAGAGTCTTGTAAATGTTGAAAGCTTTAAAATATGTCGTATATTTTAATAGTATAATCAATGTTCAAGTATTTAAAATCGACAAACTAATGAAGTTGAACACAATTCATCATACAAATTTTGACTTTGACTTTTCTTTTTTACTTCAAAGGTTAAAACATTTTGTGAAACACGATGCAATCACAGAACAACACTTACAAGTAATTCCTTTGTCTAAAATGTCACCAATTCCTCCAAATGGAAGACATGGGTACCAACACATTAAGCAACCAATAGTTCCCGAAAGGGTACATATCATTAATAAAATTGTCTCGTTAATTAACAGGTTCTGGTTTACTTATACAATTACTTGTAGACTCAAAGTTGGAGACATCAGACCTACTGTAGCAAAGCCGAGTGGACCATTGGTTGGAAAAGACATGGTTGAGCAAAAATGCCATTGGTGGACTGTGACAACGTTGGCGCGGATGGTGGTTGGCCGTCTGGTAGGGGTGATTGCTCACTTGGCTTGGAGGAAGAGTACGTGCACAACAAGAAACATGGGTTTTAGCAATGACTTTTGTCGTCGCTAGAAATAAATTTGTCGTCCCATACGGTTTATAGAGACGACATGTCGTCGCAATAGCTTATTGATAAAACATATCATCGTTAAAGATGCGTCAATGAAACTCACTTTTCTAGTAGTGATGATTTGGAAATTCATGGGGTTGATATTTTGGATCAGTGATAATCAGCTGTTTATAAGCACCATATTGGTGATAGGTGTTAATTGGGTCTAAATCATGTCTCGCTATCAATACACGCATTAAGTAATAAATTGTTGATTGTGATATTTTTAGATCGAAGTTGGGAAATTATATTTTAAGATGGAATTTTCATCATCTGTTTATTGATATATTATGTATAATTTATTACTAATATTTATTAGGATCCAAAGCCTTTGAACACGTCTAATTGACTTTACTAATCTTTTGCTTTAATAACTTTTTATTTTATGAGTGTATAAAAGTACTTATTTTTTAATACAGTTATGACAATTATTTATTTACGTTGTGTAAGACTTTTATATATAAATTTCAACACTAAAAAGTTACTTTAATTAATCAACTTGTTAGATATCGAATAATATCTGTCCGTTAATTTGTCATAACAAAATTATGTATTTGCCGCAATGATGTAATGACATGTTATACGCTACGGATAAGCATTGATGTTATAACATGGCTCGAAATGTTATGGGTCAAAGTAGGCTTGCTATACATTGATGATTTTGTATTTAGATTTTTAGAAAATGATATCACCAACAATATGAGAAAAAACGAGCATGGCATACAAATTTGTGTATAGACGAAGTGTAAAAAACGTGTTTTATTGTTATCAAAATTAACGCCTCATTTCTTCAAGAATAATTGGTAGGGTCATGAATAAAGAGATTATATGATTGTCTGGATGTGGATATTGGGACCGAATATGTAAAGTTGTATTTCTTGTTATATGAAATACATGATTCTATGCAAAGGTGGAGTTTGGGGAGTTACAGAATAAGATATCTCCACCACATATATTATACATAGACTCCATCAACGATGAAACATGATCATGATAATTAAGGAGCCGAAAAATACCACTATATAAATCCAGGGGGTTGAAAATTATATTATAATAACGTTAGATTTGTATTGTTCTTGCACTATACGTAACAATGTAAATTTAAATTATTTTAATTTTTGATATAATTATTTTTCTTTATAAAACGTTTGCAAATTAAAAAATAATATGGAAATATTATATATAAATATAATTTTTATAAATATAAGAACACTTGGAGCCCATCATTTATGTGTTTGGGCCGGGTTCAATCTATTTGTTCATACGTTAACGAATTTGAAAAAATCTTTTACATTTTAAGAAAGCATAACAAATACGACTTATATGAACAAATTAAATATTTTCTACTATATTCGTTACAAGTTGAAGAAGAAATCAAGACATTGGTTTAACTATAACAAGCAAGCAAGGAGTTCAGCAAAAAAAATGAATGTATATATATATATATATATATAGAGAGAGAGAGAGAGAGAGAGAGAGGGGTTCATAGGAGAACAATAGCTAAATGAGATAATAAGAAAACGGTCGAATCACATGTGATTTTACACTAAAATCGCGTATAAAATCACATGTGATTCACGCGACTCAGGTCGTGGGCCACCTTGCCCACACGTTTTTGTTGTCAATGTAAAATCACATGTGATTTTGTACGTGATTTAACCGTTTCCGTATTCTTTTATTTAGTTACTGTTCTCGTTTGAACCCCCTATCTCTATATCATATACATACATACATACATATATATATATATACACATACATATATATATATACATACATATATACATATATATATATATATACACATACATATATATATATACATACATATATATATATA